GGGAAATTACAGACATATTTCACTGATGAATAAGGATGCAATATGATAAACAACATATTGACATGTTGAATTAAAAATTGATGTTTAAGTAATATACGTTGATCAAAATTACATCCAGTTTGTGTGAGATTTAGTCATTATTTTTTTCCCCACACTCCCTTGCTCCTTCTCTGTCTGATTTCCCCTTCCCCCATGTTCCACCATGTCATTAATTGTCTTCATATCAAAGTTGAATACATAGGATTCTTACTTCTCCATTCCTGTGCTGCTTCACTAAGAATAATGTGTTCCACCTCCATCCAGGTTATTACAAATGCTGTAAAATCTCCATTTTTTTGATGGCTGAGTAATACTCCATAGTGTACATATACCACAGCTTACCAATCCATTCCTGGGTTGAAGGACATTTAGGCAGTTTCCACATTTTAGCGATTGTAAATTGGGCTGCGATAAACAGCCTAGTACAAGTGTCTTTATAGTAAAAGATTTTTTTTTTCTTCTGGATAGATGCCCAATAGTGGGATTTGCAGGATCAAATGGAAGGTCTAGGTTGAGTTCTTTAAGGTTTCTCTATACTTCCTTCCAAAAAGGTTGTATTAGTTTGCAGTCCCACCAGCAGCGCAAGAGTGTTCCTTTCTCTCCACATCCGCACCAGCATCTGCAGTTTTGAGATTTTGTAATATAGGCCATTCTGGCTGGGGTTAGATGATATCTCAGGGTGGTTTTAACTTGCATTTCTCTAATAATTAAAGATTATTTTTTCATATAGTTAGTAGCCATTCGCCTATTGGCTTTAGAGAAGATTCTGTTCATCTCTCTTCCAGACTGCCACGGCAATGGCAACAACAGCAATACTAAACAAATGGGATCTTATGAAACTGAAAGTTTCTGTACAGCAAAGGAGACAATAACCAGAGCAAATAGACAATCTAGTCAGTGGGAAAGGATATTTGCATATTTTGAATCTGACAAAAGTCTAATAACCAGGATCTACGCAGAACTTCAATTAATCTACAAGAAAAAAACCAACAACCCCGCACATCAATGGGGAATTTTTAAATTTTTAGTAGAGATGGGGTCTCACTTTTGCTTGGGTTGGTCTTGAACTCCTCACAGAGTGCTAGGATTATAGGCCTGAACCACTGCACCTGGCCAGAGGTTGTATTTTTTGGATTTCCAGAAGAACTGGCTAAGAAGCTTTTAGGATTCATACAGGACTGTTCCCAAAGCAAACCAGAAGCCAGGCCCAAGAGTGAACCTTTTAGGGAGAGGCCCTGCAACAAACCCAGGGCAAGAACTGAAAGGAACATGTCTCCTCTGGTGTGTTCCTGCTGTAATCCTCTTCATTGTCTTTAAGAGACTAGATCAGCTTGTGCAGTCCAGCACACTGTTCCCTGAGCCAGCTAGAAGATTTGGGGACAAGCCTGTGCCCATGATTTTTCTTTGCAAAGAGTGAGCATGACTTCAACTTTGAATGTGCCCCTGATTCTCTCTTCTATTTGTTCAGCAGCTCATGCCCAGAGTCCTGGTGCTGAAGGATTCTGTTGCTGGCCTTGTCCCGGATGGGCCTGGCCCTGACCAAGTAGAGAGGCAGAGGTCCAGGTGGCCTGACGGTGCCTGTTCCCCTCAGCTTTCCTGTACATTTGACAACTGCCACTCTGAGCATTGTCTTAGCCTGTCCCATCCAACGTTCTCTGAGGATTGTCCTGGAATTCCTGAGAAGTGAAATGTGTTGAGGATGTTGAAATGGTTCAAGAAATTTTGGATCCTCCAGGGTCATCTACACACTTGTCTCTTTTCTGTCTAGTGATATGCGCCAGTCTCCAGGATGGTGGTTGACCTCTGCTGACACTGAACCACATCCTGAACTTAAACCTAATTTGAACTGTGATGTATACTACACTTGGGAGGCAGGAAAATATCACAGTTCCATATACTCACTGCCCCTTCCTGTCCACATACCCAATGTCAGGAAGATAAAATGTGAAATTGAAGAAGATGACTCTAATCTGTTTCTTGATGGTATAAGGGACTTTCATGAGAGCCAAAATTATATATATGGAGAGAGAGAGAGACCAAGGGGCTGTGTGTGGCCCAGCTTCCTGGGTGACTGGAGTTCTTCCCTTCTCTATTATCACTCTCATGTATTCTTGGTGCTCTGAGACTCATTGGTCATTATGGGGCATTTGCAGACTCAGAGATGACAGGCTTTGAATTCTGGCCTCAGCTCCTAGCTGGGATGACACCATTTAATTTAATGTTGTCTCATTTCTCCTATTAAATATTAACTAAACTTACTTCTGCGATTGACAGATTGGAGAGAATATTCTGTGTACATATATGTGGCACATTCTATCACTTAGATAATTTTCTTCACATTTTTAAAGAGAAGTTTATTTACTGCTCTTCTGTGTAGATTCCAACTTAGTCTAAAGGGTATCTAAACTGAGGCTTGGCGTTCATAGCACAGTGGTTACGGCACCAGCCATATACACCAAGGGGGATGGATGGGTTCAAGCCCAGCCCTCACCAGCTAAACAACTACAACAAAAAAATAGCTGGGCGTTGTGGCAGGTGCCTGTAGTTGCAGCTACTTGGGAAGCTGAGGCAAGGGTTTGAGGTTGCTGTGAGCTGTGATGCCACTGCACTCTACCGAGGGCAATAGTGAGACTCTGTCTCAAGAAAAAATAAAAACTAAGACAAATAAAATTGACTTTGCAAAGTATCAAGCCCATTTGTCTTGAGTGTCTAATCCGAGGAATGAAGACAGCTGGAACAGGGATTGGCAATCCATAGGATAGAGACTGGTGTAATCACTGGCATCTATATGGGCTTGGGTGTTGCCACTTTGGCTCAGAAGCCCTTCTTCTTAGGGAATTTTTGGTGCACATAAAGGTCTTGCTGCCTTGATGTCAAGATTCTTGGGCTTCCAGTTCTAGACCCTGCCAGGCCTTTAAAAATCCCATTCTTGGCCCTCCATGGCCTGGGTTTCCCTCTCTTAACCTGTGAGGTGAGTCTTGTGCTATGGCTGGTTGCTGGACACTATTCCCCTCAGTATACCCTAATCTACCCACAGGACTTTAGGGATAACTTCCTGCTGTCAAATTTTGTGATGCATCTGAGGAGTCAGAACTGAACGTGATGGTGCTCTGCTCCAGGCGTGGACCTGCATAGCTCCGAAGC